GTTTTCTATTATAGTTTGTCATTCAAAGTGAAAGGCAATGTTTTGGAACCCGTGCGGTTTGTATTTCGCATTTGAATTTTATTTCTCAGTTATGGTTCCCCTCATCACATGTGTACCTTCTTTAAATAGGTATAATATTCTATAAATACACTGACTTCTATAGAGGTCCACATCTCTATGAAATAAATACCAAGCGTGAGTCGAAAACCCAGCTGAAGCTGTAATTTGTGATAAACATATTGTTGGTATTCGGGTCTGGTTGTGAACAGAATACATTTAATATAAATATATAATTCTAACCTTCATGATCAATGTAGGACATTGATGGCGATCCTTCGACCCGCGGGTCATACACTGATCCACGCTTTGATTTTTATAAACTTGTTTTTATACAATAGTAAATTTATACACAGTAAAATATAAGTATCTTGTTCGTTCAAGTAGGTAATCAGTGCAGGACTACTGCCGACTACGAATGGGCAAGTTAAAAAAATATCGATATATATCGTATCGATATTTTTATATAGTATTGAAACATATCGCGTGTAAAATATCGATATATCGTCATGTTTTGCATGATGTACTAGGATAAGGCCCAAAATTTTATTACGGACGGTTGTATGGAGAAAAAAAGACAACAGCACATTAATGATTTTGTAGCTGCTTTTGTTGCTTAATGTTATGTCGATTAATACAACATTTTAAAATATATATCGAAATTATTAAAAATTCGTGCTCTATAATAAATATCGAATATCGATATACTGCGATTAGAAATATCGATGATACGAGTATATATCGATATTTTTATGAGAAAATATTAATATCCTACTGTCGATTCAACATGGTGTCACCTTGTACAGTAATGGTATCATCTCGTTAATATCAAATTTTTGACATCGACCTTTATTTTTGATCTTCACTTGAAAATTTTAAAAGTTGTAAAAGTAAACGTAAACGTAAAATTTTTATGAAATTTTAATAGCGAGAACCAAAAATTGTAGGTAAACCATAGAGTCTGGCATAGACCTATACCAAAAAAATAATGAACAAAATTTGGCCTACTTCTCAAAAAGGTTCGCTATCGCTGATCTAGAATAATGTTTGAAGAAATACTCGGATTAGCCATAGGGCCGTAGGCGAGCTAAAATGTGCCCGTATTGTCTACGAGAGTTTCTTCTATTTACTGAACTATTTCTGGTATACATCGGATATCCGTCCACGTTGTCGATTGATATGTGATTATCCGTAACATCTCCAGTACGAGAACGGAAAAGGATGTTTCGTAGAGTCTCTTTATTTTTACATGCTTTGTTAAACGATCTATTCTGTAAGTTTAACAAAATACTTTCATCAGTTTTTAAGGGGTCGTAATTATAGCATGACATTATTTTGTGTATATAATTAAAATGAAAAAGAAAATAAATAACATTAATATAAAGCAGTTTTCCGGATACAAAACTATTCGGAAAGTAACTTAAATAAAAATTATAAATAATAATCTAATCTGTTGTTAATAAAAACATCTCGTTAAAATTAAAAAATATATATAAAAATGTTTTTCATTTAAATAACGAATACATTGTCCAATGTCCAAACGACAATGTCCAAAATATAATTAATATTAGATAAGAACAATCAAGGAAATTATAATAAAAATAATATAATAATGAAACCGCTTACAGAAAATTTATTTATTTATCTTTTGTTGTAAATTGCTTCAATTAGAGATTACAAAAGGCTGTAGCATTCTCTGCCAGGCAAGTAGGTACATATGTTACAAGTTACAACATCTGTATTGCTTGTCTTTTAAATAAATTCTTATGTAAGCAATTCAGTATTATACTAATTTTAACAGCAGTCCACATTGTGCGATATCAAATCGCAAATACTTACCGGCGTTTCTAAGAGTTTGCAATACTTAACTTGGGTTACAGAGTTGCTTTTCTCGGAAGCGAAGCGGGCGTCTGGCAGCAATTGAACGCGTTTGAATTCATACTCGGCGGGACCAATCTCAAAACATACTCAGTTCGTAGCTCGACAAGAAAACGAACTTTACTTGTGTATAACTAGCTTCTGCTACAAAACTTGAACGAAGCGTTGTACTTTGTGTGACTCTGCCACCACGCTGCATTTGTAGGAATTATTGCTGCAGCACCGATAAGTCGACTTGACCTGGGAAGGACCACGCTCGTACCGAATACCAGAATGCTGTGTTTCGTATAGTGCAGGGTTTCCCAACCTTTTTTTGGGGACCACTTTCATTTTTTTTTGTAATTAGTAGGTACCACAAGGTGAAACAAAAAACTGTGTTAATCTAACAATAAATTGTAATCACAACTTTTAACATAATTATATAACAAATTGAAAAGAAGCATTTCATTAACAGTATTATTTGCGTAATTATTGTAAAAGCTTTTTGTTTTTGTGACGAGACAATAATAAATATATTATTTAAAACGATTAGGTAAGTAAAATATTTAAAAATTTTCGCGGACCATATTTAGGCACTGGTTGGAAACCACTGTTACAGTGAGTGATGAGAACCGAAGACTTAATTGCGAGGCATTTCATATTAGCCTCAGGGGTGACAATGCATCTGCATTTTGATTCCCAATAGATGATAAATTTAGATATCTATGGGTCACAGCTTGTTTTCCCCCCTTACTTCTATAAAAAATCATACCACAGCTTTACTGATCTGAGACCACAGTAGAGACATAAATGGTGTATTGTTTTTTTTTTAATTTTTGTAGTTAATTTGGGCTTCCTTGGTCCAGGTTATGGTTTTATTATTTAAAAAGAGCTATTAAACTTTTACTTTGTACAACCACAGAATAAATATAATAGTTAAAAGAAATACAACAAAGAAATTAAACATAGTACGCCAAGTACGCGAGGGGTATCAAACACGGACTGTGTTTGATTACCCCTGCTAGCACAATTGAAATAGTTAATAAACGAAATAAAGTTCGGATTTAATACATGCTCGTCGGTGATGGGATATATCTGTATCTCAGAGAAAATATTTCGAAAACATAAGTTCTACAACACGATTACGACGTAATATCGGACTAACATACACATACATACATACATAGTGTTCTCAGAAATGAGAGGAAGCCTGTGCCCAGCAGAACAAATATAATCTATACAAATAAATAAAATTGAAGTGTCTGTTTGTAATGTCAAAATTACAGTTTTTTACTAAATGCATATGAAAGTAAATACGATACCTATAACTAAAATACAATTTTTAAAATTTTTGTCTGTCTGTCTGTCTGTCTGTCTGTTTGTTTGTTCCGGGTAATCTCCGAAACGGCTGGACCGATTTTGACGGAACTTTCACTGGCAGATTGCTGATTTTATAAGGAGTAACTTAGGCTAATTTTATTTTAGAAAAAGAATCAGGGTTCCGCGCAGAAACATAAAAACCCTAACACGCGAACGAAGTCGCGGGGAACAGCTAGTCTGTTAATAAATGAACTTTGTCAAGTTCTGTAATTAATGGAATAGATCCTTAACTAAGTCAAATTTGGTAACTGTTGCCTATTTGTTAAACAGTTATAATATATTTGAAAAAGCACACTAATCAGTCGTGTTTAGTTCTAAACAGTCATATGTCTCGAAATAAATCGCTGTGAAATCCAATCCAGTCATCAGTCACAATTTGCCACGCGCGATCTCTTGGCTGGATGTCTCTGCCGCGACCCTGAACACGTCTAATTTTAACCCGACTGCAGCCCTTCTTTACGCCCATAGACAATAAGTGAAGCGTTGTTTGAACTTCGATTACAGCGAGCGAGCAATGGCTCGTGTTTTACTTTTTATGAATGCACATTAAATGAAACCATTTTTATTTTTAAAATAATTTAAAAATTTACTGTTCGTATAAATTCATTTACATACAGTTTTGTTTATCTCACCGATATTTAGATATATAATTTTGAGCTCTAATTGGCTCAACAGTGCTTTGCCAGTCATTCTTCTAGATCGCGATATTTAAATTTGAGTAACAATTTTAAAAGAGTAAATTATTTACTTCACTCATTTCCTGCGTCATTATTTGTAAATTTTAACAATGTCGGCGGCTTCGAATATAATTTTTTCTATATTCTTATTTATCGAGTAACAAAGTAACAACAGAATGTGTATCTGATGCATCTGTATTATACACTAGACAACCGTATATCCTCGTGGTCAGAGTTCCAACAACGCCTTGTGCGATGGACTTGAATACAAGCTGGTGCCAACACTTGCGCAAAAACAGAATTTGGTATTTTGCAAGTCGGGTTGATGATTATCCCATCATTTCTGAGCTTATAAGACATGCGTTACATCAGGCACGTATAGTATGACTGAAACGTATAGTATGATTGAAAGCCTCTATGATTGCGCCTACATTTCGGCAATATAATATTTCTTGCGCATTTGATAGTCTGCCATTATTCGGATGTCGCTTTTATATTTGAAAATCGAGCAGGACAACATAGCTTCCGTTATAATTTATATGAAAGTGATACATTTAGTTTATAAACATATGATGCAATTGTTGATAAATCGATAAAATTCATCCAAATGCAAATGTAAAGGTTAAACTGTGAAGTGTCGGTTTAAGAATATACACTTCCCCATATCGCTACGTGGGTGTCGTAAGAGGCGACAGGGGGAAACTGAGACAGCAAATATACAGCAGTAGCTTCCTAATTACAAAACAAAATAAAACGTGGTATATTAAAAATATTTAATATACGTTTTTTTTAATCATATTTCTACATTGACATCCAATTCTGAGCTATGTTCAAAATTTCAAGTCTCTAGCTCATCGGGAAGTGCTCGAATTTTTAGTTGCAAGATTCTAATAGCAACGACAGACAGACAGACAAATAAGAAAGTGACTTAATTAAAACGTGGTAAAATAGTTGATATAGGAATTTTAAATGTACAAACTCCTTAGAAATACTTATTTAATTTCTTATAATAACGAAACCATTGTGGTATTAATGACCACCGCCCTTTTTCATCGCTTTTTGTTCAGGTGTTTGGTATCCCAGCTGTTCCTCGGGATTGTGTGGCCAGAAAGTAGGTCGATTAACTGGGTCCAAAGCTTCATCAGGGTACAAATCGTAATACATCTCCATAGTCATATCTTCAAATTTCGGCAAAGCTTTTATTATGTTAAGTTCCTTGGTGGCCCTAAACAATAATTTAAGATATTTTTATGTTAACTTAAATCACAGTAGGAGCACGTAGATCACTTGATATATTCTTATTTGTCGAAAGAATTTCTGATATATAATACATTGCACAGTTTTCCAAGTATGTAATTTAATTTAGCCCTAATTTAATTTAGTCTTAATTTAATTTGGTATTTACTTTAACATGAATATAACATAACTTTAAGTACCAAACTTTATTGTTAATCACAGATACATTTTGTGCGAGCTGTGTCTACATATATATTAGAATACAATTTTTGAAATCTTTGTTTTATGTAATATCTGTCAGCATGTTGAAATTGTGTTCTGTTTTGTAAATCAAATAAAGAGAAAGAAAAGAGAAAAAAAAAGTTACGTTGAGACTGAATTTTGGCTGCAGCATGAACGAATTTGCTGGATCGCGAAGGGACCACGCTCGCACGGAATTTCAGCGTTCAATAGCAGCATAATGCTATTTTTTTTAATATAGGATAGGGTGATAAACGAACACACAGTCCACCTGATGGTAAGTGGTTGCTGTGATCTATAGACATCTGCATTTATCCTCAATAAAGAATCAAAATGCAGATGCATTGTCACCCCTGTGAACTAAGATGGAATACCTCGTTTCCAGTAAAAAGGTTCTCCGGTTCTCTGCACTCACCATACGAAACACAGCAGTGTTAAGCTGATATTTTACGCTGATATTCTGTGAGAGTGTGGTCCTTCTCCGATCGAGCCGACCCATTCTTGCCACAACTATACTACTAATATAGTTGCAGCATGGCTCTACCACGTTTTACAGGAACCACATATCATTAGGTGAATTGTGTGTTCGTTATCATCCTTACTTATATTTAATTAAAAAACAAAGTCGACGTCCTACAAACGTTCATCTTCTTCGCGAGGGCTATTTTCTAATTCCGATAGTATAATAGAGCTAACAAGTGGTAATATTAAAAACTTTGTACAACCGACTTCAATATAAATAAAATGAGAACATCGTCAATGCAGTCGAAATCAATTAAATGCGCATCATTAAGGATAAACTAAAAACTACTGGTCAGATCTTGATCAAATTTATATGTGATGAAGCACATGAAAAGCACCAGCTTTCAAATGAAACAGAGGGAAACAAACCAGGAGATTAGGAGGATTATGTTTCTAAAAACAAATGATAAGAAAACGGCGGTTGCTTACCCGTTTTCCAAGCATGGCAACTATAGCAAATATCCTTCGTATGAGGCAATCTGTAGCTGATGCCATTGTTCAGTAGTGGACTTTTGATAGGCTGAAATGATAATGATGACGGTGAAAACTAAGATTAATGCGCAAAAGTCCACTCTTACTTTTCTATCTCTTTATCTTGCTCTGCGCAAAATTTTTCAATTTCTGGCTGCAAAGCCTTCCACTGTTCTTCTATTTTAGACGTTAGTGTGTCTTCTGGGTAGGGTACTTTGTATTTCTCCAGATCAGATTTTAAATTATCCACAATTTTCTTATCGGGAATTAATTTTCTATATGTGTCCCAATTAATTTTCGGCATCTCAGCAGGGTTGGCGAGTACACTTTTATGAAATTACAAAAATAAGTTGTATTATTTACATATAAATAAATAAATAAAAATTAGCAGTACCTTACTTAACCGCGTAGATATATCGATGTGAAGGTAGCGAGAGAGGCGGGTTAGGATCAAGCGAAATGCAACTGTAGCCTCTCTCTATGCACGTAAGTTAAGCGAAAATAATAAAGTACTTTTATGTACTTTGTGATAGAGACTCTAAATAATACAGCTGCAGCTATATTCTGACTGCAATACGAACGTCAGTTCGATCGGGGAAGTACAACACTTACACAGAACAAGCATTCCTGCTGCTGTATTCTTTTTGGTGAGTAAATAGAACCAGAGACCTATTTTACTGGTAACGACGAACTCCGTATTAGTCCTCAGGGGTAAAAACGTACAAGTTTTTTGATTCTTAATCAATTATTTTTAGTTATTTAGTTGTCAATAAGTATCAACATCACGTGGACTGTGTAGCCGTTTAACATATTCACTGTTATAAAAAAATAAGCAAGTAGGCAAGATTATAATAACATAAAAGGATAGATTTGTAACAACGAAGATGTTTTAAATTATGACTATAATTATAGGTTATATATTACCGCTGCAAGTACACATCAGATTTTCCTTTGAACACATAAAAGTTCGTTTTTTGTTCCGGTGGTACTCTTTTCTCTAATTCTAACCAATTTACTGTACGTTGCGTAAATCTTTTGGCCATACTTTAACATAAAAGAACCGGAGAAATAAGCTAACTACTTATTATTTTGTAAATTATAAGCGACATTTAACATTTATAGTCGAGACATTTATCATTTTGTGACACATGTCACAGTGTTTTCTATTTAATGAATTATTAGTTTTATTAAAAATTCAAAACTTATAAGAATGTTTGCTATAAGATTAAGGTTTTATTCATAAATAGACAGATAGATATTAAAATAGTTGATTTTCTTATTTGATATAGGATGTACTTACTCCCCTTATAATTTTTATGAACCGTTACAACCTATTAAAACTCCACCGCTGAACATACATAGGTCCTCACTATAGATTGCCTCACAGGTTGAATATTCGACACGCTTGGCAAACCAATTGGCAACCATAATTTTTTTACCTATTATAAGGACTGCTGCTCATTATTTTCAATTTTTACTTATAATAAATATATACATAATTCAAATAATTAAATTGCATTTTTGATTTTTAAATTAATTATATTATTTTCTGATATTTAGGGTACTTCATGATTATATCTCTCCCATAAAAAAAAAAAAAAACTTTTAAGGTTTGATAATTTCCAAATAATTAAAATCGCCCGCAATTTAGATTTACAGATTATATGTTTGTTTATGCATCAATATTATGTGTGTTTATACATTTTTCAAATCAAAAATGATCCCAGAATTATTATTTGCGCCCTTTTTTAAAACGCTTTCACTCAACAATTCGGGTATAAGTAAGCCAATTAGTCAACATGCAAGGCAGAAGACATCGGGTGGGCATGCGAAGTTGCGTGAGCATTTAAAGGTCGGGAACCTTATGGTAACACATTATCTATGTTAACGCACGATTAAATGTAGCTCTTGTTACAGCGCATAACGGCGCATATTTTTTTTTCTGAATTGCTCAAGGCAAAGGCAAATGAAACCGTAATCATTCAGACTGTTCGGATACTTTCGACTCGCGAAGCCACTTATGTAAATTGTTTAATATTATTTTACCACGATCTTGATAGCCTATCGCCTGATAAGATATGAAGTGTTTTATTTTAAAGAAATTTTATAAATAACTGATATCGAAGCTTGACCAGCGACGGTAGCATTACAAGTATAACTTTGAAACTATTGTTTTTGTATAATTCATTTCTTTCGTTGATTGATTAATTTTATTTTTTTATATGTTAAATTTAAGGACTCTGAACTTCAATGTTAGGCCTATTGCAATTGAAAATAATCAAGATAATCTATTGGGTTTGATGGTTATTTTATTGAATTTGGGAGTGGTCAATTTAATGTGTTTTTTATTAATTTAATCTAAGCTATATTTTATCATAAAAACATAAAAAAATGTAAAAACCAAAAATTTGTAAAATATTTCAAATTTGTTATTGATCTTTGATTATTTTAAATCTAAATAACGCAACATGAATGTTAAATTAATGTTAATATCTGTAAAATTAATTTTATTTACTACACTAAGAAATGTTATAAAGATAATTTTTACTAAGAGATGGCAATCCTGACTATTAAACCAACTTTGTGCGCGTTTTATCATACGTGCACGTATATGTACATTTTACCATCATTATTGCAACACATTACAAATCCACTGCCGAACATAAGCCTTCCCCCGAGGAAATCCAACAAAGCAATGTATGAGCCTGCATTTCTTAACAGGATCGTCACTCGATCTATTGGGAGGCCGCCCTACACTTTGCTAACCGGTATGGGGCTGCCACTCGAGAACTTTTTTTCCCATCGGTTATCGCTTCTTATAGTTATATAACCGGCACATTGCTATTAAGTTTATTGATAATAAGTAAGTTTATTGAATATTTATATAGTACTAATCAGCGTGAAAGATGCAGTATCCTGAGTGGCGGCCGCCCAAAATGTATGCCAAACTTGCTTCTACGTCACACTCGCCGACGAAAGCACTTCATTTATGTAAGCACAGAGCAATGAATCGCCCAGCAAAATGGATTCAGTTCTCTGTGGGGTAAAATCTCAGTGGATCATTCGGCGTAAAGGGCCATTAGAACGATGCCTATTCACTCGTGCCTTGACGACAGATGCTGGCAACTTAATCCACGCCTTTGCTGTAAGCATGACGGACGATGAAGCAAACGATAACGTCGTAGAGATAGCACTACTTTTAGTCGTTTGCACACTAGTTTTCGTTTTCATAGTATAAAAAGAAATAAATTGTTAAAAAAATTAAATAAAATTGACGTCAAAGTCAAACTCTATATTTTTGTTTAATGCTCTTATGAATGTCAAAATCTACACCGGCTTGCAAAAACAAGACCTTTTAGAGAACCGGCAAGAAACTCTAGCTACGTTATTAATTAATGTTCTCATAAATAACACGCTTCAAATCCATACGTCCAAATTAACTAGCAGCTACCATTACTACTAGTTCTCTACAAATGGCCTTCAAAAAGAATCACAGTAGTCGTATGTCAAATCACCCTCCAACACAAATGAGCGACAAATCACCACACCGTTTCAATTACAAGACAATAACCTTCATGGTGTCAGCATCGTGGTCGTTTCCGCCGGATATTAGGCGCAACGACAAGACCGTACCGGCCGAAGTTCTAACGTGCCGAATTCGACTGACGACATATTTACCGAATCACCCAATCCTTTTGCTTTGATGCGAACAAAACTGACAAGCGATTTTATTTCATATTCCCAAGAAATAACGGCTTGATTTACAAATGTCCTCAGATAAAGAGAGCAGTAGTACACGTGGCTGGAGGAATCGTTTCCGGCCGGATCAACTACTTACGTACTAAAGTGTTAACTAATTTCGATTGCTTTGATGAGATTTGAGTGTTCTAGGAAATGTAGTGTTCGAAATTTAAATCATCTTAAATGAATAACATTCATGTTTCTTTTTTATCTTTTCAACTTTGCCTTTTTATTTATAAGTCATATTTTTATAGAGCGAGTTTGTGGAGATGGGTTTTACGATAGTAAATTCGTTAACAATTTGAAACAATAAATATCCATATTATATATTATAGGTGTAATAATTCCTTTTTCTAGTTTTTTAATGCTGAAATGGTTCTCTGTCGTGATGGATTTAGGCCGCGTTCCGACGACACGCACCAGCTACGCGCACGCCACGCGCGTCAGCACCCGCGTCTAACTCGCTTTGAAATTTGTTGCATATAATTTGAGTCTTATGACAAATCAATAAATCTGAACTTGCATTTATTGACGTTCAACCGCACACGCCTCGCCCACGCCACGCGCCCTCCTCGTTCCCGCTCCGCGCCGGCCCCGCGCTCGCCCCGTACACGCTCTGCACCCGCCCCGCTACGCCTAACGCGCCCTTACTATGATAATATTATTAATGACCTCTTTTTGGGTTCGGGTTTTATAAAATACATTTTTGTTTCAGTCCCAGCACAATGAAGCTGGAATGGGCAGAAAGCGAATCCGACTTCGGTCTGGAAGAAGCGGCGTTCTACGAGGGACCGACGCCCCTGGCGGCACCCATGCGCAAGAAGGTCTCCTTCAGCTTACGACTTGATTTAGTGAGTACCAACCCTCAGTTAGCTATTTACTGCAAGTTGCAATTTTATCTTTTCAGATTGGTATTTGCATTTTGAAAGAAAGAGTATCTTGATCGATTAACAAGAACACCCAACTGCATTATCAAACTTAACTTTGCTTAAACTGAATTAACAAAGTATTAATTGTTATTGCAATAAATAAAGCTGTTCAGTGTCCCTAAGATGAACGTATTTCCATTATGGATACAGTGTACAGGCGCTGACTTTCTTCTTACAAGTAACGGCGACAAACGAGCGAACAGTCTACTTGATGGTAAGTGGAGTATCTACACACCTACATCTATCCTCTTTCAAGAGTCGAAATGCAAATGCCTGGTCACCCGTGAGGACTAAAATGATTTGCCCTATTACCTACGAAAAGGGTTCCGGTTCTCGCCTGTCCATAGGAAACACCGAAGCACTATCCTGCTATTTCACACTGGTGTACTACAAGAGTGTGATTCTTTTCACTTGTAATATACGCCACACCAAGCGCGCGATATTAACTTTAAAATTGGCATATGTTTTGTTATTTTTCATTTAATTTTAATTGTTTAAACACTTATATTAGTCTAAGCTTATATCAATAAATCACTCAATACCGCATCCAAACTGGTTCTGCCACTGTGGAGATTAGCGTACACACGCACACTGACAAACAGACAAAAAAGTGCTTACAATTAAATACAGATGATGTAAATATATTTTAATAGTTTTCAAATAGCAAAAAAAACTCGGTACAATAATTATTTTTTATATTCCTTTGTCTTATATTTACATGTTTCTATAATTTGTAATTATAAATCCAGCTTGTAGAATTTCTAAATCTGGAACCTGATAGTAATTCCAGGATGTCACCGTTAAAGATAACCGGATATCCGATAATGTTGGGAAAAGTTGCTGCATCCAAGATACACATTAGGCGGTAGGGATAATGAGACAACTTGCTAAACCTGGTTTCAAAGACTCGTTTGCAACGTTAGAAATTATAATGGTAACTGCAATTTTATAGTGCTAGGTTACACAGGAAATAATAACATTAAACTTTTAATAAATTGTGAAACTAACTTCAAAGATTTAAATAGATGAAAATAATTTTCATCATTTCATAGTACTGACTTCAGAAGCTATTATAGCTTCTGAAGTCAGTACTATGACATAGTGTAACGAAGAATAAAAGCTAATGACTTCAGAAGTTAATATTTTCTTTATAGGATAGTGTGACAAACGACCACACAGTCCACCTGATGGTAAGTGGTTGCTGTGGATAGAATGCCTCTTTTCTAGTAAAAAGGGTCTCCGGTTCTCTACACTCACTACACGAAACACAGCAGCATTAAGCTGCTATTTTACGCTGGTATAATGTGAGAATGTGGTCCTTCTCCGGTCGAGGCGACTCATTCGTGCTACAACTATACTATTAATATAGCTGGAGCATGGCTCTACCACGTATCCTATTAATATTATAAATGTGACAGTTTGTGAGGATGTACGGATGTTTCTTACTATTTCACGCAAAAACTACTGAATGGATTTTAATGAAACCTTACTTAATAATATAGCTACATCAGAAATACACATAAGCTATAATTCATATAATTAAAATTAAAAATTTTGTACAGCCGACTTCAATATAAGCGACTTCAATATAGGTTATTTAAGAATAACTCAATAACCATTGGTCTGACCTTGATCAAATTTATATGGGACCACTTGAGAACTATCAGCTTTCATATAAAAAAAAGAATCATCGAAATCGGTTCGCCCAGTACAAAGTTATGAGGTAACACACATATAAAAAAAAACATACAGTCGAATTGAGTACCGTCTCCTTTTTGGAAGTCGTCAGAAAGGTATTGTATAAATTAGCCAAAAAAAGTTAAGTAAGTCTCAAAAAAAATCTGTCATCTGCGAGCTATTTTGGCTGAACACGCATTACACAAAAACCTGTGAACCGATTTGGATGAGACTTTCACTGACAGATGCTGATGATATAAGATGTAACTTAGGCTACTTTTATTTTAGGGTTCCGCGCAAAAAAAAATCTACGCGGGCGAAGTCGCGAGGAACAGCTAGTGTGGAAATAATTTTATTCGTTTTAGTTGCTTGAAGTCGCTTTTTACTTGAGACCCTTTTAAATGGGACCACCTTTGTATTATAGTCTATTTAGTTTATATTGGATCACCACAATTGGCTCACAATCCACACCTTTTTCTGTGTGTTTAGTGTGTTTCTTCTTTCAACAAAACTTGGGCTAGATTTCGAATCCACGACACAACTTTAAAAGCACACTGTTAGCAACGCTGCGAATTGATCAACCTAAGTATACAACCACATCTATGAGAGCAAATCTCACAATGCAAGTACATCAGTAAAAAGTTCAAATAAAAAGAGAATGCTAACGCAGACTTAAGAATAAGGCAGGACTGCCTCGTCAAACTGGAAACTTGTCAGCGCTTCATAGTTACACGTAGTCGTTTCGGTATTTTAGCAGAGAACTGCACTGAAACATGGCGACGTGTGTGTGCAACAAGTTGTTGTCATGCCACGTACATGAGAATTGAATGAAATTAAATAAATATTTAACAGTTTAAGAAGGTAATAATAAAAAAAATATGAATTATACGAATCTGCAGTAAAAACAATCTTAAATATTGTACGGTTGATACTGAATTATCATTTATAATAATTTTAAAAATTCATATCCGCATTATATTATGCTACAAAACAACGATGTTTGTATTTAAATTTGGTTATTAGATATGGAACCGTTTTTCAATTGTCTCTAAGTACTTAACGTGGTAGAGCTATGCTGCAGCTATATTATGGTTGTAGCACGAATGGGTCGGCTCGACCGGGGTAGGATCACACTCTCTCAGAATACCAGCGTAAAATAGCAGATTAATGCTGCTGTGTTTCGTATGGTGACTGTAGAGAACTGGAGACTCTTTTTACACCGGCATTCCACCTTAGTCCTCAGGGTTGAGACTCTTTTTACTGAAAATGAGGCATTCCACCTTAGTCCTCATGGGTGAAAACGCAATTGCATTTTGATTTTTAATCGAGGATAGATGTAGATGTCTATGGGCCACATCATCCACTTACGATCAGGTAGACTGTGTGTTCGTTTGTCACCCATATTCTATAAAAAGTCTTCATATATCAATAGCAATAAAGTAACAATTATTTCATTTAACAAGGAATTAATTTGTTTAAATTTCGTTGCGCATGTTAACAAGACTTGTCTTTATATGTCGTTATTAATTATCTTATCCAGGTTGTTTATTAGTAGCAATTAAGCTTACAACAATTCTATTAACCCATTTTTTTAAAGTATATAAATATTCGTTATATAGACGAGCTAATTTATGAAGCTCGCCTGCTGTCAGGGTGTCAAGCTGTCCTCGGTTAGGGCAGGACAAGTCGCCGGATGCGTCGACGTTGCGCAACGGACCGTGCGCTCTTTGTCTCCAATAACGTCCCCTTTTTATAGCACTATAGAACAAAGAATATACTATATTTTAATAAAACATCCTTCATCGACTACGACTTCGTATTTACATAAGTGACTAATAAAAAAATATGTTTGCATTTCCAATCAATATTTAGCAATCTAAACATTAATTTGTAATGTAAACAATTTTGTACTAAACACATTTTATAAGTATATACCACACTCGTAGAGCGGTTTGATAAAGCATATTTTGGCTTTTTGCTCTTAGTCTGTACCAAAATTCACGTAACTTTACTAAATAAGAAGCAACCGACTGCTTTACGTTATACATTTTTAAGAACAACAAAAACTATTTTAAGGCTATTTTATCTGAATACATTTATGTTAAAATAAGTGCGTCGTAAACAATATTAACCGCTTCGGTGTATAAAAATTTAATGAAGTGGTTTATTTGAACAAAATCTTCACGGCTTCGGTTACAATCAATCATCGCCGGCCCAAAGGAGTACAGAAAAAGCCAAAGTTCCTATTTCAAAGTCGATGTTCTCTTTTTAATTTGTTTCTTTTATTTTTAAACCTGCCCGTGACACTGACGCTAAGCTTTACTAATGAGTTTCGACATTAGCTTACTGCGTGGAAAAAGTGTTGAGACTTTTTTACGAATGGGTTACAATATATTGTTTAATAATTTAAAATGAAATACATAACACGAGGGTAATGAGTTTTATGAATGGTGAAATGACAATTTTGTCTGATATTTGATATTTATACTTAACTAACCATTATTACGAGTACTTGTTTTGTTTGAGATGAGTAGATTAGAATACTAATGTCGTAAACAAAAATGGGAAGTAAGTTTATAATGAAGCGTCAGTAGCCTAATGGCAGGGCGCGGACCGTGAACTCGAAAGGTCGTGGCTTCAAATCCGCCATTCGACTACTGCCGTGAACCACTTCTAACACAAGCATTTTAAACTTACTGGAAGTGGTTAAAGGGAATGTTAGTAATGTTTAATATCATTACTTGTATTTTTATCAAAAAAAAAGTAGGTGATCTTGACTACGTCGCTGTGTTTGCTTTTACGCGTCTGTATTATATTAATTTATGTAAAAACGAACAGTGAATGAAATAATATGTTGCTATGAAAGCTTACTATGGTAATTGTAAGTGACACCATTAAAATCTCAGGTACATTTCAATGTCGAATTTTGAGTAGAGATAATGTAGAGTCATTGTGTACGGGCAGAATTAGTGCTTCTGCTTTAGCGTGTACACGACAATCCTGGGCAGTAAATCTATACATACAAATCAATAAAATTGAAGTCTCTCTTTGTAATGTCGAAATAACAGCTTTTTACTATATGCATATGAAAGTATATACGGTACTTATAACAAAAAACACGATTTTTAAAATTTTTGTCTGTCTTTCTGTCTGTCTGTTTGTTCCGGCTAATCTCCGAAACGGCTGGACCAATTTTGACCGGACTTTCACTGGCAGATAGCTGATATTATAAGAAGTAACTTAAA